GTCTATACTTACAGGTTCAATTCTTTATTTTTTATAGTATTATAATTTTTATATACACTTTAATTAAACTGACGTATAATAAAAAAGCCGTGCTGTGTATAAATAAGAAAACACTTTATCTTAAATTAAAATCTTAAAGTCAAGAAATTTAAACAATAGTAAAAAAAATAAAGCAAATATAATTTGTACATTCTTCATGTTTATGTTAAAGAATTTGATTATATGTTATTAAATTTTTGCTTTTTTTTTAATCCAATAAACTTTATTATTGCATAATGACAAGAAAATTTAAAAGCCACACCAAATTCAATCTTGTAAGAATTATTACATTATTCTAGAAAATTAAGTTGCACGCTACTGAAAGAATTATGAAATTTCAAAGTAAAAGCATAAGAAGCTTTAGTATAATTTGTTAGAAATATTTTTTTTATAGTTACAATAAGGTTTAAAAGTTGTACAAGAAAATACAGCATATAAAGCATGTTCTGTGATAATGATTTTTGATCATTATTGTTTTTTGATTTCATTATTATCTTCTTGATCTATTTCGTCTAACCAATAAGTAATAATTTCAATAATTTCTGTTGCTGTAGGTCATTTATAATAAATAAATATTATCAGATCGATTGAATAGTTTATTTCAGAACTCACTTATTGTTCAAGGGAAGACAATGTACAGAAGAATCTGTTTGCACATGTAATGATCAATGTATTTCTCACTGTTTGTATTTATTTTAAGTCAATCATCACATGTGCTGTCTATATTCTGATGCTATTATTGTTCAAATTATAATTGTATAAAATAAAACTTCGTAATCTTATATATAATAGTCAAAGCAAAGCAAATTTATTTGCTATTTTTTATTATTTACATTTAAACTTGCAATTTTTTTTTTCTTACTAATTTGTGAAATTCTATTAATTTTGCTATAATAATTATTTATCTATATTTAAAGAAAAAAAAAAAGCTTAACCAAGCTAGATAAAAAAAAATCATTAATTGACAAATTTATAAATCCCAACAAAATTTATCTGCCAAATCTAACCAATTTCTTTGGCACATTAATGCAACTATTGTATCCGGGTCTAATAAAGTATGACTATTATCGATAATATGATCTGCATAGCTAAACATCTGTTCTAATGCAACGCTTGAAGCAGGTATAGCAAGAAAATCCCAGGCCATTGCTGACAGATTAGAAAGTCTCTCTTTATTATACTTTCACTATTCAAGTATGTTGGTAGTTTTCTGAGTAATTGGTTTATCTAAATACCATTTTACTTCACCAAGTGGATCTTTTTTACTTACCCAAGTCTGCTTTGCAGCATATTCAAAGAAATCATCAACGTGGTTTTCAAACACTGATATATTATTTTTAACATTACTAGCAATTTCATTATCATGATCAATGGTTGAGGAATATATATGAAGATATATCACTAGCTGAAAACTAGAAATTCGACCAAGGTGAATTTTAATAAAATTCGGCACCAATTCAACTCAAGAGTTTAAAATTCGACTATTAAATATTCGACATAGTCGAATTATTAGTATTTTCGACCTAATTTTGACAGAAATTCAATGGTTGAATTTTTTAAAATTCGACCTAGGCGAAGTTTGAAAAAATTTGATCTAAAATTAGCTAGAAATTCAGTGTTCGGATTTTTTAAAATTTGCCCAGATCAAATTTTGAAAAAAAATTCAATATTAAATTAGCTAGAAATTCAGTGTTTGAATTTTCAAAATTCACTTAGGCCGAATTTTGAAAAAATTTGATCTAAAATTAGCTAAAAATTCAATTGTCGAATTTTTAAAATTTGACCTGGGCGAAGTTTGAAAAAATTCGATCTAAAATTAGCTAGAAATTCAGTGTTCGAATTTTTTAAAATTCGGCCTGAGCAAATTTTAAAAAATTCAATTTTAAATTAGCTAGAAATTCGATATTTGAATTTTTCAAAATTCACCTAAGCTGAATTTTAAAAAATTCAACTATTGAATTTCTGGCTAATTTTAGTTCGAATTTTTTAAAATTCGGCCTGGGCGAATTTTGAAAAATTCAATCATTGAATTTCTAGCTAATTTAATATTGAATTTTTTAAAATTTGTCCAGGCCAAATTTTGAAAAAAAAATTCAACCTAAAATAGCCAAAAATTCAATAGTTGAATTTTTCAAAATTCGCCCAGGGTAAATTTTGAAAAAAATTCAATCTAAAATTAGTTAGAAACTCAATAGTGAATTTTTTAAAATTCACCCTAGATGAATTTTAAAAAAATTTCAATCTAAAATTAGCCAGAAATTCTACGATCAAATTTTTTCAAATTTGCCTTGGGTGAATTCTAATAAACTCAGGTTAATATTAGCTAAAATTTGATATGTACTACTACTAGTAATTATTACCAGTTACACAGATCTAGTTACGATCGATCAGAAGATTATTTTATAGTTGCTACGCAAGTAAGTTTATCGATACTTATTCCTGAAATTTTAAAATACTTCTGGTTTTAGCATAAATATATTGCGCAACTATTTAATCTGTAATGAACGATATTTATAGTGTGATTTAAACCATAAACAAATGTTCAACATGCGCTTTAACAAGGTGAATGATGATTATTTATAAAAATGTATCTTCAGAATTGTGTTGTCTTCAGAGTGGCTTATCCAAAGCCACCAAGCTGATTAAGCTATCGCTATAGCTTGGAGTTGCAACTTTACTATGGCTCAGATCAGTTGCAACTGAATCAACTTTTTTGGAGTTATAGTTATTGAAGCCACAACTTGTGTCATGCCTAGAGCCATGGCTCTGGCTGTAGTAGCGTTAATAGCTTCAAAAATTCTTTAATAGGTTGAAATTGGTCTACAAAACTCTGTCAATAGAATTTTTCTTATTTAATCAATTGAATGTTATCAATTAATATATTAATTAATTTCTCATTTAAACTTTATTTAAGGTTCTCTCAAGCATATAATTAATGGGTCGGTGCTCAATTTTTATTTGTTGGAAAGTAGCTTAACCGGAAGTGGGCTAATTATTGCAATGGAAAAAAAAGTGAAACATCTTTTTTATCACTTGTTTTGATTGACTAAAATTTTGTTATCCACATTCACATTATGAACTTTTAGCAAAATTACAGTAACAGGTAAGGATTGCTTTAATTAATTGTAGTACTCATGTACTATCTTGGTAGCTAGCTAATCACATTGAGAACATTCTAGTTTTTAAGTTTAGTGATTATTTATTAGTCTAATTGGTCTAAGCATTTAATATTGTTATGAGCAGTTCACGTCTCATTAAGGCACCTGGAAAATGTGTATCAGATGATCGTCCGAAAAGCTAGATCGGAATGATATAATATTTAGAACTATAAACAAAAATTACGGTATGTCGTCTAGCAAATAAAATAAAATTACTTATGTCATTAGCTCTTTATTATTATTTAAATTATAATAATCAATAATGTCTTTCATTTTTTTTTTCTTGCAAAAAATAAAAGCGATGCAAATTTGTTATAACACATATTTTATATTGTAAGCTTTATTTCGTTAATTATATACAAGGAAACTATCAGATTAGAATTTAGCAAAACAAAATAATAGAATATATTCAAAACTACCTATATCACTCCGCCAGATACTTTTGTTGTTTATGAGTCACAAGTTGAAGCTATAATAGCTGAATGTGAAAATAAGCAATGTTTGATCTTCTAAAAGTGATATTAAAATTAG